TTGGAAGCCAAGCACTGCCATGTGTTACTGCTATTTGATTTAATAACACACTGCTTCCCATCATTGGTTAGTCAGGCACGACTTCCCCTTCGTGAATCCATGCTGACTGTTCCTGATCACTTTCCTTTCCTCTAAATGTTTCATAATTGATTCCTGCTCCATAATTTTTCCAGGGACTGAGGTGAGGCTGACTGGCCTGTAGTTCCCCGGATCCTCCTTCTTCCCTTTTTTAAAGATGGGCACTACATTTGCTCCTCCACAACCAATCTCCCATCACAGGGACCTGTTGGGGTACCTGCATATCCACCTCTGCACCCCTTGGGAACAGAGACATGTGAGCATCCTTAGAATTTGCCTTCCCCTTTCTTTCAATGAATCTGTGCCCAGTTCTCATAAGAACAGCCAGATTGGGTCAGACCAATGGTCTATCTAGCCCAGTATCCTGTCTGCTGACAGTGGCAAGTACCAGAGTTTCAGGCAGAGTTTGCAGAACAGGGTAATTTTGGAGACATCCACCCTTGCCTTTCCCTCCTTGCTTCTGATAGTGAGAGGTTAAGGGTCACCTTGAGGATGGGATTAAATCCATAATATCTTGGCCAGCAGTCATTGATGGACATGTCTGCCATGAATTTATCTAGTTCTTTTTTGAACCCAGTTATATTTTTGGTCATCACAGCTCCCTATGGCAATGAGTTCCACAGGTTAATTGTGTTGTATGAAGAAGTATTGCCTCTTGTTTGTATTAAACCTGTGGCCTATTAATTTCATCGAGTGATTTCTGGTTCTTCTGATATGTGAAGGGGTAAATAACACTTCTCTATTACTTTTTCAACATTATTAATGATGTTATATACCTCTATCATACCTGCCTGAGTAGTCTCTTTTCTAAATTGAACAGCCATAATCTTTTTAGTCTGTCCACATATGGAAGCTGGTCCATACCCCTTGATCATCTTTGTTGCTCTTCTCTGAACCTTTTCCAGTTACACTATATCCTTTCTGAGATGGAGCAACCAGAACTAGATACAAAAACAACAGGGAGTCCGGTGGCACCTTGAAGACTAACAGATTAGTTAGTCTTTAAGGTGCCACCGGACTCCCTGTTGTTTTTGTGGATACAGAGCAACATGGCTAGCCCCGAAGATTGTGGCCTCAAAATAAACAAAGTCTTCAGGGATGTGGATACACA